TCCTGCTGGAACGAGCGTTTTGTTGTGCCTATAAGGACCCTTTCCATTAATAAGCACGCCATCCGGTATCCCCAAAGCCTTCCCTTCATCAAGTTCCTTCCTCAAATCCTGCAGAACAGAGTAAATAGACACATCCTCCATATGTCAAATCATCTACATTTTTTTCCTCCATAGTTCTTCCAACAAAGTAATGCTGAAATTCGCACTCACCTTGTGGTTCTTGTTGAACCAGTCACCCACAAAGAGACTGATGTCGCCATCTGGCGTGTCAAAAGGCACCGAGATAATCGGCCTGTTGTTAATCGTGAATCCTCCATACCCACCTGCTGCACGCTGGAAGAGGGTTGAGGGGAAGTAGAAGAAGCTCCCAATTTGATCTTTGACCTGGAATTGGTAAGTCCAATTCCATCCAGCTGGGATCGGGCAGTTCGTACCGCGCACTCCATCTTGCCAGCTATTTTTCCTTTGTTGAACGCCATCCCTGACAACCAAACCAAGAAACATAACTAAATCTACCGAAATAAACTTTAACTCACCTCATCAAAAACAATATCACAACATCCTCTTCAAAAACATAAGAGCCAATGCCGATAAATTCCCACCAAGTAATGAGAAGCGGTTCGTCGAGGCTATTGAGCACATTCACCGCCACGTTCCAGTTGGTCGTGACATTGACGACGGGTCCAGGAAACTTTCCATTGATCGATATTACCTAGCGTCAGCGACTAGACAGCGTCAAGAAAATAAAAAATAAAAACCGAGACACACATTGGAAAGTGAAATGCAACCGCTCCAAAAGGGGAAAAGAGCGAAAAAGACGGGATGAGGAGAAAGCTAAACCCATGCACACACATTTTCAGTAAAAAAAGAAATGAAATATCGCAGATCTAAAGCTGCAGCATCAGTAGAAAGAGAGAGGGGGGAAGAAGTTCATGGCGAAGCACACCTGCTGCTCCACCCCGAGCGGCGCGGCTTTCATGTACGCGACGTTCCAGTCGAAGTAAGCGGACGGATCGCTGGCCGAGCAGAGCACCACAAGCGTCGCCGCTAATGCAAGTGCCATTGCAGCCGCCGGAGATGCTCTCCGCCCCGCCATCCTCCCTTAGTGGAGTGCCGGAAGTAGAGGTAAAGAATGGCCCCGATCTCACTCCACCGGAGAGACCTTTTTGCTTCTCTGGAGCTGGTCTCCGGTGAGCGGTGACTGAACAGT